AAATTCACACAACATATGTTTCAGCCTAAATGAGAAACATCACCACCGATCAGACACAAATTATATCAATATAGTTTATCGAGTAGTTTGACCTATCAGGAAAACACCCTACTTTTTCCCCTACAATCTAATTAAAAATTGGTAACTCGGATTCCTTAAGGGGTACCTCTCAGGGTGTCTATGAACCAACAAAATAAACTCAGAACCCTTGGAGCACCTGTCTTTAGAACAGGACACCTGACACAGACCGGGGAAATGTGGAAATGCAGATTCCTGGCAGCAGATGTTTCTGTTCCTGAATTTATCCTGCCTTGCATGCAGGCAGGAGGAAACTTCTCTGCGGAATCACGGATGACTAGGACAGAGGGAAACCAACAGCCAAGGGAAAGTCACATTTTCACTGGTAAATTAAAGGCATGACCAAGGGAGGACATGGCTGTGCTCCCCAGAGTGGGGAGACATGGGGCAGTGACTTAAAAGAACGTCCTCTGGAGCCACAATTCTTGGGCTAGATCCTGGCTTCCCAATCACCTCACTCAGTGGCTAAAGGTGAACCTGAGTCATTTAATTTCTGCCAGAACCTCAGTCTCCTCTGAAAACGGGGGTGCCTATCTCACAGCACTGTCATGAGAGTCAAAGGAGTCAAACCCTCAAATGAAGAATCTAGGAGCACTGCCTCACACATAGGAAGCTCTCCATAAATGCTGAGGAGTATTATTATCTGGACATCTTTTAAGATTTGAAACAAAAGAGAAAAATTCTGCATTCTTTGATGGGGATGGTGTGTAACCTGTACTTGATGAATTGTGAAGGCTGGCAGATGACAGCCAGACAGAACTACACCCCCGACAGTTCCCTGGCCACCTCCCGCAAAGGGGGATCTAAAAACCTCAGGGTATAAACGCCTCTCCTACAAATGCAGGGTGCACATAGGGACAAAAGAGAATGAGCTTCCTGGATCTCCAGAACGGCAGACCAGCATCGAGGAGCCGCCGTCACATCCAGATCTCAATCTTAACAAGCTCAATTCATTTCTTCACAAACACTTATTAAGGGCCACTGTCATAAGGTTGGTGATTTTCACCCTATAGGAGATTATAGTCGAAATAATTTCCGAGAGAAGACATATTGATAACCTTTAAAAAATGTAGTCCATCAGTCAATAGCATTTAATAAGTGCCCTTTGCTTGTGACACATTTTTCCTCAGGACATTACACAGGCAAAGAGAATTCGCCTCTGCATTCAGAACAAAGAGGATTAGCTAGGAGAGGGAGACCATGAGGGGGATTGCAGAATCACACACACACACACACACACACACACACACACACGATCATGCACCAAATCCTATTCTGTCAGAAGGAGGACAATTTCCATCATTACATGTTTTATGCTCTAAGTCACCTGTGTATCAATTTAAGGATGCCACAATAGTAATTTCAATAATTACTACAAGCCTAGGTAAATATTACTGCCCAAATGTAAGGGAACACTTTGGAAATGTAGCATGTCTTATTTAATGCTCTTCTGTGAAAAACATATTTGTTAATCAAAAAATTAATTTAACTGCATATATGTAGTCAACATGCTCACACAATTAAACTGCTGAATTATAACCCACATTTTCTGATATTTCTTGAGAAAAAATAATCATTATGGAAGTTACAACTTTGAAAATGTTATGAAGAAAATAAACACGCATTAAAGACAACTGGGAATATTTTGGAACTGAAGAAAGAAAGGTTCTCAACGATTACCTACAGAGCAGAACAAGGAGGTAGTCATGGGCTGAAATCCAGTGGACAGAAACGAATTATCCCCTCTAAAAAGTCAGATAACATAAAAGACAGAATCTATAACCAATAAACAACACGACAGAAACCAAAACCAACACAAGAAAAATGACCTACATATTTCTTCCTTGCCTAGGACTCTGATTTCACAAGGGAATTGGAGAAAAGAAGGTTTTTGTTTTGTCTTCTGGTTTCTTGGTGAGTAGCCTAAAGTCTTAAGAATATTTGTATAATCTAAATAGCACCACAGGAAAAATCCCTGAGCAACTAATAAACCTTATTTGTTCTCTTTTAATTCTGATTTATACCACGTCCAATATGATTGTGCTGGTTCTGGCTTTCTACTAAAAGGTAAGAAATAAATCATTCTATGCTTTTTCAACAGATTGAGCCTGGTGATATTACAGCCGTGGATGTTTGTTTTGTTTTCAAATGAGTAATGCCGCTTTCACCTGCCTGTCTCCCTTTTGATTCTCTTCTTTCCTCTCCTCAGTTCTTTCTTATTTCCTTTCCCTCTCACTTTCTTAAATACACACCCCGTTAACGCATTTAACATATTACTTAAACTCCAGTCATCACTATTGTTCAGGTGGAGCTGTAACTTGGGAGTCCTAAATCCCATGCAAGGGCGGCTAGTCAACCCCGGAAACACGAACCAGAAGCCAGGATACACCGTGAGGTGCCATCAGTCCACCCGGGCATGAAGGAAAAGAAAACCCCAGGCCTTCTGACTAGAGGGCTATGGTCCCTTACCTAATTGTACTGATCTTCTGATTCTTTTATAAAAGAATATATGCCTCTTTGGAGGATGAAGCACAAAGAGGTACTCTTTCAAAACACATCCAGTCTCCTGTGGCTCCCCCAAATCATCTCGACAGAGAGGAAGAGAGAAGTTGGCAGGTTTCAGCATATTAATAGCCAATGACAAATTAGTAACTATGTGCTTTAATCTTCAGCATTCACAATTGCACAAAGTATCACGGATCATTCAACTATACATGTCAATTTATCTATGAAGAAACTATTAAGGTACAATATTAAAAGCAATACCTCAAGCACGTAAAAAACTGTCTGATAGTAACACTTAACACACAACGCACAGAATCAGAACAAGTGTTTTGAGGAGTGGATGTTTAAAATCCTTACCAATGTGGCAAAGCACTATGCAGAAATATAAATATATTCAACCTGCCAGATCTTTCAGGTAAACACACACCAGTTCTAATGGATTTGGCTAAACTGACTTTCCACATACAGTGGTTTCTAACACTCTGATGTGTTTGATGGTGGGAACGCAGAATCAGTATGAAGAGAAACTATCATTTACTTTCAAAATTCAATCAGGTGGGGAAGTCTAAACTTATGACTAGTTAACTTCAAAATGGCATAATCAGAACTTTGTTACAGAGAAAAATATTTTTTCCTTAAAAATGTGTATGTGTCAAAATGGCTAAAAATCTTGTCCATGCTAGGGGAAAGTTGAGTGTGGAAAAATGTGCATTTTTCTATCTATGCTATAAAGAAAATAAAAAACCAGAGCATTTTGGCATTAGTAAAGGGCTAAACTAAGTTCTCAGGCCATAAATTTATGGGGAAACATGACAGGCTCCTCATTAAAGCTATATGTACGTTGGCTGAATTTTATACAAGATTCTTAAATCTTGTGGAAAATTGGGCACGGCTTGACAGCTGAACAATGTCCCTGGTTTGTTTGATTTCTAAAGCACTGGAAAATGTTGCACTTTGGAAATCAAGTAGAGAAGAACACACTCTAAAACAGAACTGAGCTGAATCTGAAAGTTATTTTTCCATATGTCTCTATGAGATATTTATTACGTTTATTTCTCCTACAAACATAGCCTCCATGCTAGGAATACTGTGGTCCTTTTTTTTTTTTTTAGTGGAAAGAAATAGTACCGTTAAGGCAAATCTTACCCAGCAGCAGTAACCAGCAGGATAGGCAATTTTCAGGTGGTTTTTCACAAGCTGGTTGCCATGACAAAGAGCTCAATTTATTCCTTAGTCCCTTATCACAGCTACGATCACAGACCATAAAAATTAACAAGCCTCTTTTCCTTTTCCCTGTAATTTCAGAGTCCCTCATCCTTACCTGAGGTCTTTTGTTCCTCCAATTAAATGGAATGAATGTCAGTCATCTAGCAATTCAATTAATGCTGATTCAAAATTCCGGCCAAAACCAGAATCTATAATCACAACTTCCTAATCACAGCTCAGTCATGAGAATGAAAAGTAAGCAGGAAATTGCACTAATTACTCAATTAGACTAATACTGTATTTCTAAGCAGGGGCTTCAGGGGTTGTCAGTCCTGACAAAGGACTTCCGGGTCCTCCTCACCTTGTGTGCCCCCAGTTGTGTGACTGAAGCTGATATTTTCAAGTGGCCATAATTTCTATCCATCTAACATGGATGAGCCCAAGCTGGGGAGAGAAAATTCACAACTGATACACCGACCACAAGCGAGACCCTGCTTTGATAGGTGTTAAGGGGCTCTTAACACAGACCTGTACGATGGCCAGGGCTTTGCTGGGAGAGGGCCTCCTCCTTGGTGTGAAGACAGCTATGCACACACCTTTCTGACCCCAGGAAAATATCTAATAGAGTGTTCAGTAAGTGTGCAGCTACTCTACTAAACCTTAAAATTGAGTGATGCTTACAGGCACTAGCTTCCAAATGCACAGCAGAGCCTGTGCCATGCTGGGCAGAGCGCAGAGAGCTCCTGAGTGAGGAAGCCTACACACAGCTGGAGCTTAAGACTCATCCACACCCTTGGGGACAGCTTCTTGTGCCAAGTCTACCTGGAGAATCCTTCATGAAATCCAGAACAGTGTATGAAAAAAATGATTAGGAAGAACATACCGGCAGATGTGACTGGAGTATTTACAAAATAATACAGTATAGACTAAGCAAGTTGGATTTTTTTTTAAAGCCCCCACTCTCAAATTAGATTCTTTTTTCCTTTTCAGTTTCAAAAGACTTAAATATTCTATAAACAATAAGGAGGGTACCACAGCCTGTCACTTGCCTCTGATTTTTGTGGTCCCCTGTCAAAATCCTTCCCATGTTGGCTGTGGGGATAGGAATTGGACACAGGGAGATGGGAAGAGGGCCTGTCCTACAAGTCCCCAGTCTTTCCTCTGCAGCATTTTCTGAAAATGACCAAATTGGGAACTGTGCAGGGGTTCCAAAAAGAGAAAAAAACATTTATTTGACTAAGTGAGACAAAGTCTTTACTTCCAGGGTTTGCCTTGCTGGTGTCCACTGCCCAGTGAGCGGGGGTTCGAGTGGCTGGCAGGGCCCCCAGCAGGCAGGTTCTGAGCACTGCGGGCACTAGACACCTTGGAGTCTCTTCCAGAAGAGTTAACTTGGTTCAGCCGGCCTGAAAGGAACAAAAGAGCAGGAGCAGAGCTACAAAACTGATTCCAAGGACAATCCGCCAAATATACTTTTAAGCTAATGAAGTTCTGTCTACAACCACTTTTAATCGGACGAAGTCCTGTGAGGAATCTGCTTTAGGCCAATGATGACCTACTCCTTATCCTTCAGGTCAATTTGAAGAAGGGGGCAGGGATGGAGGGAAACCCAGACAGCCTTTTTCCTTCCTCTTTATTACCCCCAACAAACCCAGTCTGTTCCTTCACTCCCTCCTTCCTTTGTAGAGAGGTGCAGGGTGAGGAGCAATTAGTGGAAAGAGAAGAGAAAGTAGCATGACACAAGTAAGGGAGGGAGAAGGCTCTCAGCAGTTTACATGTGCCCAAAAGCAGCAGAAAGAAATGAGACCTTTCCAAGAAGGAATCTGCATGGCTTATGCTTAGCTTCTCAACTTTGTCTGAGATGAACTATTCTGATAAAGTCTCTTCTAGAAGTCTGTGCTTAGTGCCTAATTCTTGTGGCTATCTGGGATCCCCTTCACTGTCCCCTCTCCCTAGACCTGTAACACATCCTCCCAAATATTTTAAGAATGTGAATATAAGAGATGAAGCTTTTCATATGAGGTAAGGTTCAAAGATGAAAATCTTAAGTTCCACAGAAAACATTAAAGGTCAAAATATCTTACTAGAATTTTCTGTGGGACCCTGATCCTCTTCCAGATAATATTTTATCTTTTTTAAGTCTTCTGGGGTAAATCTCCATTTATTCTCAGCGGGTAGGGGTGGCACTTTGGGGCTGGATCGTTTCCGGGCAGAGCCAGGAGGAAGGGCCTGCTGGCAATGTGCTGGTAGGGAGCCAGTAATCAGTCCTTCTGGGAATTTCTGAGATAAGACTTTTAGACCTAGGTTTAGAAGAACATCAGAAAAATCAGAATTAACAACGTGAGGCTAACCCAAAACCTGGAAAGCAGCCTGCATGTCTTCTAATCTTTGATCACCATGTTGAGGCCAACACAAGGATATGAAATCTTTCTTAACTGTTTTTCATCACTGAGCAAGTTATACCAGAAAATGTCAGTTGTTAACATGGGCTTCTGGAGAATACACAAGAAAGCCTTTTGCTCACGTCTTCAGCATTAGGGCTTTCTTACAGAGCCCTGAAGCAACATCTTTATTATAGGAATTAAAAGCACGTGCTGATAAAGCTAAGGGGAGTTTCACATAACTCGTGACTCAATCTGGGCAGCATGGTTTTCTTTTTCCAGAACACTAAATTCTGAGCACTGAGAGGAAAAGGGTGATGGACATGGGCTTGAAGGAGTGTGAGTCCAAATATCTGCCTTTTAAGTCCCAAGTAAAGTTACAGCTTTGCTCACCTCCAGAAAGCATGAAGAGATTTTCAAACCCCCGCTCGCACATGGTAGTGGCTGCCTGACTGGCCAGCCTTTCATCGTCGTCGTACAGAATGATGATCTTGCCGTGGGCGTTTTTCTAAGAGTCAGAGGAGTTAAAGTTCCATGGCACTGAGCTGATGCTCCTAGACTATAAGGAACCCCCAAGGAACAGAGGGCTGGCACCTTTCTGAGTTCTCAGGAATGGTGGATGAGCCTCTTCATGCTATCATACCAGCAGTTATCAGATTACCAGATTTTTTTTCCTTGTCATGAAAGCCTCACAAACTAGTCTTCTTTTCTTTTACAAACACATGTCATGATGGTCCAAGACAGGACTACTTATTACAGACGTTTACACCCTTTAGTTCTACTATCTCTACAATTCTGGAAAGGGAATGTTACAATCTCCATTTTACAGACAAGGAAATGGAAAAACTTCTATGTCTAATGTGTCCACTGAAGCCTTATTTATAGTAGTTAAAGATGGCCGCCACCTAAAAGTCCAACATACAGAATGTTTAGTAAATTATAGTAAATCTGAAGATGAGATACTATGCAGCATCCAAAATGGGGTTTACAGAGAACTGTTTTAACACGGGAAATACATTATAAGGAAATGGAAAAAAGCAAGGTACTAAATTATATATACAGCATGATTTCAACATTTTTTCCCCCACTTTCTAAAAACAAAAACATAAGGGACAGTCTGAAATAAAATATATCAATAATATAATAGGAGCTATTGCTCAATTGTATAGTTTTTAGGAGATTTCGATTTTCTTTTTATATTTTTCAATATTTAAATTATTTTCTACTTGTACTTTTTTATTTCAAAACATTAAGCGGGTATAAATGTTTTAGGTTACAGGGATCATTTTTGTAATGCTTGAGTTCTGGCTATAGGTGCGCCCACCACCTAAATAACCTTCATAGTACCCATTTGGTTGGTTTACTCCTCCCTTCCCCACTCCCCTCTATTTGCTTTCCACTGAGTTTTACTTCCCTGTATGTTTTTTAATAAATGAAAAAAAAAATTAAAATTTTAAGGATAAAAAAATTAAAATATAAGAAAAATATTACTTTTTAAGTCCTACTGGGGAAAGCTTTTGGGGAGGGGGTACTCTTAGGATTAATTCTCAGTGGATCCTAACTCTTAACCTAATGTTTTTTTGTGCAATGAAATATGGTTTGGAAGAATCTGTCTTAATAGAGTCAGATTCTCCGCAACAGCTAGGAATCCAAATTCTAAAAGATGCTAAGCTGATTAATATCAAAGGTCTGTCAGAATTTTTTTTTTTACCAGGAGCATGACTCATGATAAATTTGGTTCTTACAATCTTCATACTACCCAACCCCTTAAAAAGCAACAAAGGATACATATTCAAGAATATCATTTGAATAAGGGTTCATTGTTCTAGACAGAGTTGCAATTGGGTAACTGTAAGCTGCAAAGAGAAGAAAAAGTTTAGGAAGTCTGTGGTTCTCTTAGTACAACTTGGCTCAATTCCCAGCTAGTTTAAAATCTAAGAAAAATATATTTTCAGAATCAATGAGCTATCAACTTAAGTAGTTTTGTGAAAGAAAAGAAACAGGATCCTATGAACAAAGTACGAAGCTTCACTTCACTGTTTCTGACAGCCATCTGTGAACACCAGCAGCTTCTTCCAGAATACTAAAGCGGAGCCAACCCCATAGGTCTCTAAAATGGATCCAGCTAACACACGGTTTCCTCAGCTGCTGACCAAGCCTATGGTTCAAGCCTGCTTGGTCTCAAGGACAGACTCTATTCTTGAGTGTGAGTCACTTGAAAGACTTCTCTCTTACCTCCAACAATGTGGCACTGCTGGTAAGAATCTCTATCACGCACATCTAACAGCAGGAAGGGGCAGTCAGGATAAGGTTTGTCTTTGGTATTGGGCTCTGCTTTCTTCACTAGCCCTTTGTCCAGATCCAGTTCCCCAACACCACTGATGACGCTGCAAGTGAAAAAGTAGGTCAGTAGAAACAAGTCAGGGGTTGGTGGCTTAAAGGTCAAATGTGTTTCTTTAGTACAGTGAGATGAGTGCTCAATATTTTTTCGAAAGATGCTTCAAAGAGAAAGGAAAATGGATATGGTGCCTTAGTTCTACCTCTGAATGCAGGTCCTATGGATTCCTATTCTATCACACTGAGCCCCAAAGAGAAGATCCATGCATCCCACTCACCTTCAGATAATGCATGTTAAGTCATTACATGACTGAGGGGGCAGAAACTGTAGGGCATGTGCTGCCTCCAGCAGCAAGGGCAGCATCCAGAGAAAGAAAGAGGGGAACAGTTAATCCAAAGAAATCTGGAGGAGTGTAAGAAAGCAGACCAAAAGGGGAAAGAATAAGGTTTCCAGTACAGGAAAACGGAAGTCTGTGCTATGTATATGTCCTATCAAGTACTACTAAGACTTTATATATTTTATATACTTTTCTAGCAATCTATTCACTGTAGATATTGAACCTTAATATTTCCAGCAGTTATCTGCACCTACTTCCATTGTGCAGGTTATAAAGTTGAGGCTTTTAGATTTGGTGGCATTCATAGACTTACCACTGACAGTTCTGTTTCTAAGGTCAGTAAGTCACTAAATTGGTCACCATCTTAATATCATAAGGAAGACATGGTAAAAACATAAACCAGAGGAGAAGAAAATTTACTTGATATGAAACTGCATCTGCAGTGGAAGTTCTATTGGCCTATCTCTTGGATAGAATTTTAGAGTTCTTTCACAAAAGTAGCTATGATAATGATGATGATGATGATGATGATAACACTGATGATAGGAATTCTTGCTCTAGTAGAACTGTTTTACCAGTAGGAGGGATGGATATGTGCTCAATATCAGCACTGTTTTATAATCAATAGTTAATATTTGTGAGAAAGTACTGCATGGAATAAAATCCATGTAAATCCATGGGATAAGAAAGACCATGCCTCAGAAGAAGTAGAGAAAAAATAAAATAAAAATTAAAAAAAAAATCAAGGCCAAGTGCTGTTTGACTCTCCTCTGCACTTTTTAGCATCAGAGCACTGTGTGTAGCACTGGAACTCTAGACAGGGTAATCATAAGCTGCAGCAGACAGAAAAGGGGTGGCAACTGTATCCTCTGATCGTACTCATAAAGCTAAGTCCTAATAACAAACTTATGCATAGGAGAGAGACGACTGGAACTGAGAAGTGAAAACTAGTACTCTCTTATTAATATATTCTTACATTAACTCAGTAAGAATACTGTGAAAAAGGTTTGGGAGGTAGCATTTATACAGAGAAAGTAGAAGGGCTGGGATTAAAAGGTGGATCTTTACTACTGTCAGTTTTGTTTCTAAGGTAAATAAATTACTGAAATTGGTCTCTAGATTAATATGAAGGTAAAATGCAGTGAAAGTATTAACCAGATTAGAGTACCTCTGAAGAGTTGAGCGACTGGAGTCCCCTGCTCCTGTGTTGTTTATGAACTGGACAGGGCTAGGTGACTGCTCACCCAGGCTCCCTTTCCCGTTGGTCCCTGCAGTAATTTCAGCATCAGGGTCCGAAGTTGCAGAATCATTATCTAAAATTTGCAAATGAAGAAATAATTAAATTTAACCTCAAGTTTTCCATTTACTTATCAGGCAGTTCCACTGAAACTAAGTCAAGAAAAGGAAATCTTATCACCATTATTAAATTGTTCTGAAAGTTTTAATGCACAGGTTCTCAAAATGTAGTGGACCCTAGGTGTCTCTAAGATTCTTTTGAGGGGTCTACAAGGTAAAAACAATTTTCATAAGAAGTTACAATTGGGGGCTCGACGCCTATAGCTCAACCGGCTAAGGCGCCAGCCACGTACACCTAAGGTGGCGGGTTCGAATCCCCAGCCCGGACCCGCCAAACAACAATGACGGCTGCAACCAAAAAATAGCCGGGCGTTGTGGCGGGCGCCTGTGGTCCCAGCTACTTGGGAGGCGGAGGCAGGAGACTCGCTTGAGCCCAGGAGCTGGAGGTTGCTGTGAGCTGTAATGCCACGGCACTCTGCCCAGGGGGACAGCTTGAGGCTCTGTCTCAAAAAAAAAAAAAAAAAAAAAAAGTTACAATTGGGGGGGCCCCTGTAGCTCAAAGGAGTAGGGCGCTAGCCCCGTATGCCGGAGGTGGTGGGTTCAAACCCAGCCCTGGCAAAAAAAAAAAAAAAAGAAGTTACAATCGTTGGATTTTTCACCATCAAGTTTATATTCACTGTTCATAAATATGGATGTCACACTAAAAAAGTTCTAATAGAGTGGTTACAATTAATAATTTTATTAAATCTCACCTTGTAGTAAGTACATGCCTTTCTAATGTTCTATGTGATGAAACAGGGAGTCCACACACAGTTAAGTTTGCTACATACCAAATTTCCAGGGTGTTCTCAAGGAAAACTGTGATGGTAGAGTTGTGAACAGAACCAGCCAGTTTTGCCATGAACACCATTTTTACTTGGAAGAAAAGTTGACAGAAAACCTGTGATTACTTAGACTTATGTACTTGGCAGACATTTTCTCAAATATGAACTAAATGAGCCAGTCATTTCAAGAAAAACTACCGATGGTATGTGGTACCAATGATTAAACTTTGAGTAAAACTTAGAATTTGGGAAACTGTATTTGCCATCAGGAGCTAAATGAAGTATGGAGAACTGCTTCCCCACACTCAGACTTTTCTGATAACATAATAGTGATATTAATAAATGTGTTTTTTTGATAGAATCTAATTAAATGTGTTAACATTTGGGAAAATCTTCATAACATAGAGAGCCAGTGTGTTCCAAGTGACCAATGCATGATTCATAAAATTATGCAAGGGTAAAAGATTCATTCAAAGCATGAGATGACTAATCAATTTTAATATAACAGAATATGAAATCATTGATATGGTTATAGATTCCACATTACAGCCAACCTTTAAGAAACTACCAGCTGTCAAGTTTTGGTGCAGAATCAAAAAAAAAAAAATCCACAATTATCTTCAACGTAATATATATATAGTACTTGTAAAGCTAAATATATATACATATATATATATATTCTCCTCCTTTTCCAACTACTGGTCTGTGTGAGCTGGATTTTCTTCTTATATTTCAACCCAACCAACATATTGTAACAGATTGAATGCAGAAGCAGGTACGAGAATCAGCTGTTGGTATTAAATCAGGCCTTAAAGAGATTTAGGAAATACATAAACAACACCATTCCCAATAAAATTTGGTTTGGGAAATATAGCTATTTTTCATAAAAATATATTAGTTATGTTTGCAATAACTTAAGTCTTTTTATATACTTAAATAAATAAATATTGATTAAGTTCTCAGCTTAAATTTTTAACACACTAAAGATTAATAGATATAATCCACATAAACCAAAATTTTGGGGGGTTCTCAATAATTTTTTTTTTTTTTGAGACCGAGTTTCACTATGTTGCCCAGTAGAGTGCCATGGTGTCACAGCTCATAGCAACCTCCAACTCTTGGGCTTAAGAGATTCTCTTGTCTCAGCCTCCCAAGTAGTTGGGACTACAGGCGTCCACCACAATGCTGGGCTATTTTTTAGTTGTAGTTGTCGTTGTTTGGGAGACCTGGGATGGGTTCAAACCCGCCAGCTCTGATGTATGGAGCTGGCACCTTAGCCTCTGAGCTACAGGTGCCCAACCAGGTTCTCAATAATTTTTAAGGAAGTAGAGGAAGACTAAGACCCAAAAGTTTAGGAATTTGCTGTTCTAACCAACACAATGAGAGAAAGAGCCTAGTTATTAAAGAAGATGTTAAACATTTAACTTGCATATAGTATTATAATATACCTAGAAACTGTAAAAGAATACTATGAGAATAAGGGCAACAAACATATGGTTAAGATTTAAAAAATGCTAATAAAATTATTTTTCCAATTAAAAAGTAACATGAAAAAAGTCTAACTTACAGTAACAACTGTAGCTATAAAATATACTCTTCCTAGAAATAAACCTAAAACAAATGCAAAGGACTCAAAAACTTATAGATCCTTTATAGGACTTACACAGATTTTACTTAGAGGCCTTAAAGAAGACCTCAATGAAGAGAGTAATGTATCTTGTACGTTCCTGATTGGGCAACTAAATGTAAAGTGAAGTTAATCCTTTCCAATTTTTAAGCTCAGGATTGCCTAAGCTCAGCAGTTTGAGACCAGCCTGAGCAAGAGCACCCTGTCTACTAAAAATAGAAAAACTAGGCTCGGCACCTATAGCTCAACCGGCTAAGGCACCAGCCACGTACACCTAAGGTGGCGGGTT